ATCGCGTCTGGAAACACCGTCGTGATTCGTGCACCAATGAAATTATTATGTAAAAACCGCTCGAACATCGCGCACGGAGGTTCCTGTTTGTTCACCAATTCGTTACATTCTTACCACCTTTCGATTTTCCTACACTCGCCATATCCGGATGGTTAATTTTCTTTACCTAATTGATCTGCATAATTACCGATTTCTATCTTCCATTCTTACAAGAAAAAGAAAAATAAGGGATTCGAGAAAAGTCAGCGAACGAAAGTGGCGTGCCCGGTTCAGGCGCGCACGTAAAGCGTGTAAATAACACGCGGGCGCGCTCATCGTTGAATTACAATTTCAACTCGGTATATTACACGGGCAACGGGAAGCTGTTCCAGGAAACGGTAACTTATAATTTTCTCGGATCTTGATCGTCGAATTAAGGCCATCGTTACGCCGAGAGTGCACCCGGGTTGGCGAGACATACACCTAACCTGTACCTATACACGGGAAATACAACGAACGATCCAACGGGTCTAATCAGCGCATTGTTCGCTCACGGCGCGAATACTAAATGTATAGGCGCGCGTTTAATTCGCGCCTAAACACTCGACCCGGGTCGTGTCTTGTGTGTCTGCCGTGAAAAGAAAGTCGCAGCAGGATATTTGAAATGCGAGGAAATGAAATCGTCTGGGTGCCCCGCTCGCTGCTCGTTTGAGAACCGGGAAGATGGTAAAATAAAGTAATTGTTGCTATTACCGGGCGACCGGTGCACCTGTATTCGGTGTATACCAGCCTGTGCACGTGCACGTCCGCGAACGTGTGTAGGTTCCACGGGAGACGTGGGTTGTGTGGTTACCTGTTCGCTACAAGGATTCTCTCTCTTTCTGCGTAGAGGCTTGTGAGAATCCGGGCAATTACGCGGGTCTCAGCTCGCTACGGAGTATCTGGCTTGTTCATAACGAATAAATTTAGATGTCTTAATTGCCATCGGTTAATTGTTGTGGAACGCGGCGCGTGAATACGGCCGCGAATCCTCTCTCTGCTCCTCCTCTTCTTCCTCCTCAAAGACACCCGGAATTCGCGAAATGGGATTTGCGTTGCTTTCACCGTGTTCCACGCTTCCGGTCCCCGCGATCGTTCATTAAACTCCTTGTGTTGCTTCTCACCGGGGAACATTTATGTAACTCTGCAACGACGTGTTTTTTTTTTCCAAATAGGACGTTAAATATACAATGCGTTCCGATGAATCGCGGCGATTTTACCACACTTTCGGATCTTGATGTTATCGTTTCTTTTTAAAGTAAATTGATGTAAGATCGACGTTACGATTTTCGTAAGATCGATCGTGGTAACAAAACGGGATTCTTCGTCATCGGTAGCATTATGTGCGTGTTATAATACATCAAATCGTTGAATTTCGTTTACATTCGTTATTCCCGCGGTCGTCCGAGGCGCCCTTTTGTAATTGTTCGTACGAAAATCGCGTGCTATCTGACCGGCCGAATCGGCCGGTAATTATTTCAATTAAAAGTTAACGGAATCGAGCGCGCGGTTTACGCGCAAAGTAGGGAGGATGGGGGGGGGGCAGAGGGTGATGGGTTAAAGGCGTCGAGGGGTTCGATTAAAATTGCTTACAAGGCGCGTTGGGTTTTACAAATTCCTCGGTCATTAGCGTGGGGTCTCGAGGAAATGATAAAATTAAACGCGCGGTACGCGTCGACGATTACAAACGCACATTATTCTCGCTTTCCTCCTGGGAAAGTTAAGGCATCGAGCGTGTTAATTATAATGAGAACGTTGAGTAACCGCCGCTATACGGCCGCCTATTATCGTTTGTACCGAGCAACAAAATCGCGCGCTGCAAGTCCCTGCCGCATCGGCGTCGGCCGGGCGGCCGGGGGGGGGGGGGGGGGGGGACTGGGAAAGCAGTTTACAGCTTGTTACTTATCGCGATGGAGCGCACTAATGCGGTAATGCACGAGAAATCCTATCGACCGGCAAATCTACCATGAATCGAGCATAACGATGTTCGAAACGGTACGAACCGCGGGCAGCGGCGATCGCGACGTAATGCAATTTTTCGCAATTTCTCGCTTACGTGATTTTTCGCGGCATAGCGCGCGAGGGGTACCCTCCTGCCCCCTTCAGTTTTCCTTGCTTTTTCCTTCCTTTCATTAACAGGCGAACGATGAACCAATTCACCTGTCGTTCAGTGCTGTGAAACGACGAAATCATCGCGATAACGATAAATTAGAGAACCTGTCATCGTTATCTGGTTTCGTTATCGTTTCGAGGTGATTTAAACCGCTCGTTTAACGTAACGCCGTTACGATGTTTCCGCAACGAGTCGACGACCATGGGGGGACTGCCAAAGCGTCGAACACCGGTGAACGAAGCTTGGGCAATCGGGGCTCGCGGTTTAATCCAACGATT